AACCCTAACCCCCCAACCCTAATCCTAACCCTAACCCTAACTCCACAGGGCCCAGAAAAACTTAAAACAGATGAGCCCCATCAAAGAATAAAACAGCCGGGCTCGGTGGCTCAGCCTGTAATCCCGCGCCTTTGGGAGGCTGAGGTGAGTGAATTGCCTGAACTCGTGGGTTTGAGACCCGCCTGGGCAAATTGGCGAGACCTCATCTCTACAATAAGTCAAAAAATCAGCCGGGCGTGGTAGCGCATGCCTGTAATTCCGACTACTTGGAAGGCTGAGGCGGAGGGATCGCTGGAGCCCAGCAGGTCGAGGCTGCGGTGGCCGGGAGCGGCCACTGCACTCCATTCTGGGCGACAGAATGAGACTCCAACTCAAAAAAAAAAAAACTAAAACAAACAAACAAACAAGAATAAAACAAAGCCTCCAGGGACCAAAATAATTCACCTAATATTGGGATAACACAGTATAAATATATGTAACATAAAATAATATAAATGTACTCTAAAAAAAAGTGGATGTAATAAGTGAACATCTGCAAAATGCAGCAGAGAAAGATAAACCATGAAAAACAAACAAAAAAATTCAAATGAAAACTCTGTAATGGAAGCGTACAATAACCTAAATGTACGTTTCACAGAATTGTCTAAACAAATGTTTAGAAATGGTAGAAGGGAGATGCAAATAATGGCCAACTTTTTAATGGAAACAATTGAGTCCTGAAAAGAGAAAAAAATTATATATCTAAAGTGTATAAAGAATGAAAGAACCCAGAAAAAATCGTTCAGATGTCTATATTCAGAAAATAGTCTTCAAAATTGAGGGTGAATTAATAAAATTTTCAGGTAAAGAAAACTTCAGATAATTTGTGGCTAGCAGATATGTGCTATACGAAATGCTAAAGGAAGTTCTTCAGGTTCTAGGAAAATGATACCAATTTGAAATTGAAATCTATTGAAAAACAGATACTAAACAGTAAATGTGTGAGTAAATGTAAAAGATGGTCTTATTTTTGTCTTATTTCATTTCAAAGCAAATGACTTTTAGAACAAAAATGATAACATTGCATTATGTGGCTTGTAATACGATAGTAGCACAGCATTAATTCTATAGAGGATCTAAGCTAAGGATGTGTGTTGCAATCTCTAGAGCAACCACTACAAATTGCTATAGGATGTATGGCTAAACAGTAAGTAAAGGTAAATAACACATATTTTAAAAAGTAGTTTAACCCAAGAGAAGATAAGAAAAAAGGGAACAGAGGAACAAAACAGAAATGGAATGAAGAGAAAACACATCACAAAGTGGTAGATTTAAACCTACTGCATCAATTGTTACATTCAATATTCATAGGTCAAACATTCTGGTGAAAGGTCAGAGACTGTTCAACTGACCAAAGAAGCAATATCAAATAAAAGAGTGTTTACAGCAGACACATTTTTTGCAAAACATAAATAAACAAAGTAAAAGGATGGAAGAAGATATCACACAAGTGCATTCCCAAATAAGCTGACATGTCTACTAATATCAGGTGATATAGAATTCAAGAGAAGAAATGTTACCAAAATGAGCGAGGATATCTCATAAGGAAAGAGTCAGAAAACATATAACTATCCTAAATGTGTCTGCACCTAATTGTAAAGTATCAAAATGCACAAAGTAAAAACTAATAGAACTAAAGTGAAAAAAAAAACACAATAATTCACCCATCTTTGTGAAAATGGCACAAGTAAACAATATCATGGATGATGCCAAATATGTAAGCTATATCATCAGATAAGAACATAGGTATTTCTTGAACACTATGCCCAACGACTGCAGAATTCACAATCATTTCAAATGTCCATGGAATGCTCACCAAGAAAGACCATATACTAAGCCATGAAATATGTTTCAATACATTTCCAAAGTGTGTATCGAGTATAGCCTATGAAATTTTTAACTAAAAATTAACTAAATAATTAACCAAAATTAATGTTATCCAGAAAATAAATTATTTTAAAATTAAATGATATATTTTCAATAATACATGGGTTAAAGAAGTAATCACTAGATAAAGTAGAAAATATTTTATGCATCATAATATTAAAACTCAACAAGAAAAAATCTTCAGAATACAACTAATATTGCGCTTAGAAGGAAATTTATAGCTTTAAATATAGCTAAATTGTTTTATCAAGTAAAGAAGAAAGTGTTAAAGACAAGGTCCCAGTTTCTACTCTAAAAAGCAAGAAAATGAAAAAGCATATTAAGTTAGGGAATACAATAAAGAGAAAATAAAACTTGATGAAATAAAAAAAACCCACAAAAATCACAAAGCCAAATATTGGTGTGTTTGAAAGGATTAATTAATGCAATGAACTTCTAACTAGACTGATCAAGGAAAAAGGGTGAAAAAGTATATTATTATTATTAGGAATGAGAGAGGATATACCATTATAGATCTTACAATAATTAAAGAGATAGATTTTGGGAGGCTGAGGTGAGTGGATTGCCTGAGCCCGCGGGTTCGAGACCCGCCTGGGCAGCGAGACCTCATCTCTACAATAAATCAAAAATCAGCCGGGCGTGGTAGCGCGTGTCTGTAATTCTGGCTACTTGGAAAGCTGAGGCGGCAGGATCGCTGGAGCCCAGCAGATCAAGGCTGCGGTGGCCGGGAGCGGCCACTGCACTCCAGTCTGGGTGACAGAGTGAGACTCCAATTCAAAAAAAAAAAAAAAAAAAGAAAAATTCATTTTAAAAAACTATTTTTTTTGTCACTTTTGATAACTTCTTTACTTTTTCCCAATGAATTAGATTAGTATAGTGAGGACTTTCTTCTGAATAACCCTAAATTTGTTCATGTAGTTGAATCAGTACTTACCAAAACCTTCCCACAAACAGACCTCATTGGTGAAGTCTAATAAACAGTTAAGGAAGAAACAATACCAACCGTTTGCAAACTCTTCAAGAAAACAGAGTAGGGTACACTCTCAACCCATTCCATTAAAAACACAGATGCAAAATCCTGAGCAAATATTCACAAATAAAATCAGCAAATTGCAAAAATGAGCAATAGATTATGACCAAGGGGGTTTATCCAAGGAAAACATGCTGCCTTAACATTAAAAGCCAAACGGTCACAAAGATGCAAATAATGGACACTGGGGCCACTAATAAAGGGGGGATGGGTAGGAAGGTTAGGGTTCAGAAACTATCTGGGGCACAGTGTTGACTATCTAGGAATGGACCACCTGAGACTCAATCCCCACCACGACGCAATATGTTCATGTAGCAAATATGTATGTGTGCCCCTGAATCTAAAATAAAAAAAATAGTAAAAAAAAAGAAAAAAAGCCAACGGGGGAAAATAAACGAATCAATACAATTCACACCGCATTAACAGAATATAGGAGGAAACAATATAACCACATCAACAGACGTTAGAAAAGTTTGTCATCAACACAATTTTGAGATTAAAATCTCTCAATAAACTAGGATTAGTAGTGAATTTACTCAATCTGATAAAGGGCATAAGTATAAAAACCAACCACTAACATCACACTTAATGGTGAAATATTACAGATGGACTTTTAACACATGGAACAAGGCAATCGTGAAGTTCAGGGATAGGCAAAGCTCAAAAATGTTGATAGAATCAGAACAATGGCTGCTAACTGGGGCGGCGGGAGGGTGGAATGGAGGGGGCACCGGAAACTTTCTGGCTTTGTGGAAATCAGCCCCATCTCGACTGGGATGCTGGCAACATGGGGGAATACAATTGTTAAAATTCAAACTGTACACTTGAAATGAATGCATTTCCCTGCATGGAAATATTTCTTCAGTGATGACAAGACACCCTGCATTCAATTTACTGTTGCCTCTGTTTCCCAAGTGGCACATGGTCCATGGTTGCAAAACAAACTCCTATGGAAGTATAATCTAGGAGATCCCATCTTTGAGAAGACATGAGTTTCATGTTTCTTTCCCTAACAAGCAGAAAAGCAACTCCACTCCCCCCGCCACACACACATAAGCGTGCGCACGCGTACACACACACACACACACACACACACACACACACACACACACACACGCATCTTAGGGAATTCACTATCTTCTGACCACAGGAAAAGCTGTATTGGGAAGATATGCTGATGCTGACTAATTTATTATTCTTGCTCCAAGATGAGATGACCCAGCAAGGAGATAAGAATCCAGCTCTGGCACATGGCTGTAATTGACCTTTGGGGAAAGCTCTTGAATTTAGAAGAAACAAGATTATAACTTTAGATTTAAGTTGGGAGTATTCCCAATGTGGAAGTTTCCAGAGGACTATATATTTTTTGGTCTACTTTCCTCTTGATTTCATTATAAACTAAAATAAAGGAAACTTCAAAAATGGTTACATTCACTTAATTTATGGGTTGCTTTTCTTGTGGTCCAATCGAGCAAGTTCCTAAATCATGGTTTTCCTGGTCTAGTAAGAGCATATGTGTCTGTGTTATATGAGAAATTCATGTTAGAAATCACTGTTGAAATCCCTTGTGTCAACAGGGTAGATATCGCTGTCTAAGAGAAACTACCCTATACATACCTTATTTGGGGGAATTTATTAATCAGAAGCCCTACACAGGCTGCTGCTTTAAAGTAAATTATTCCTATATTGGGAGGGAAGAGGGAGTCCTTGTTTTCTTAATATCATCCCCCCCTAAATGCAGAGTATTAATTTGGCAACTCACACTGACTAAAAGTTATTACCGAGCTCCCACATGATAAATCAGAAAGATGTGACCCAAAAAGCAAGTCAGTTCTCCAATGAAAAGTGATCCCCACAACAATATCTACCATCATCTTCTTTGCCAGCAAAACATGTGTTTCCTGTTATATAGGACCAGCCCTAACATGCAGAATTTGACATTTGGTAGGTACCCAATAAATGCGGAATACATCAACGTCAGTTACACTAAATAAAACAGTTTTATGAATCATACTGCATTGAGTATTTGCCAATAATCACTTGCCTTTTTAAAGTCCAGTGTGCAGAGCTTGGCTTTTTCTCCAAACTGCCACTTGCACTGAGTGTGTGCATCATACAACTCTCCAGGCAGCTTCTCAGGGTACTTGTATTCCTTCACAGGTTTTGGCTGGTCAGCAAGGCATGTAGCCTGAGCAGTGCTGAAGTAAGAAGGAGATGAGTGACTAATGACAACACGGAGTCCACAAAGGGTGCACAACCCCTTCTGCCTTTTGTGTTCCTCGCGCGATTTTACAACATATAGAAAGAGATCTTTTTTTGTCCTGGCGTCCAATATAACATTTATCTCACGTATACTTAAATACAGGAATCCCATTTTCTAAAATCATTCATAACACATTGGACCTTTACCAGGAAGGCAATTTGTTCTTCATTAGATTTCTCTAACTTATGAGAGAAAGTGAAATGGAAGAAATACACCCAAATGTTCAATGAGAGAAGTGCCTGTTATAGGCACCTTCTGTGCACACTTCTTGCCAGAAACAACTGAAAGATGAAAATGGGCATTGTAAGAGTAGAACACAATCAGTCTCTGTCAAAGGTTGGAATCTTCTTTATTTCATTTTTCTTTTTTCATTCTTTTTCTTTCCTAGACTGAGAAATAGCTGTACCTTGTCTTCCAGCTTCCAGTGAGTTTTCATGGAACAACAAATTTCCACCAACAATGCTCTATATGCGGGCTAATTTCTGATGACCCCAAATCAAGAAGAAAATTAACTTTGCTGAAATTAATTAGTAGATGGTTAAAGACCAACTAATGGTCTTTTCCTCCACAAATAGAATATTTTACTCCCTAGTGGGAATATTCTTTGGTATAATTAATGAATTTAGAGGAAAGTATTTAAACATGTATGTGTTTGTAAATTCTTCCTATAAATTTCAGTAGCCTCCCTCCAAAAAAATCCCCAAACCAAAAACCTATAATCATACCGAATGGAACAATGGCAGATCATCCCCCAAACTTTGCTTGCAGGGATGGTCTACCTTGATTCAAAGGTTTCTGACTGGTCTCCCTGGGACCTCAGCCCCAGTTTCCACTGACATGGGGCTCGGAATCTGTGCATAAAAAGCAACAAGTAGCCTAGATGGGATTCTCTGTGAAGTCTACCAAACATTTAGGGAAGAAATTATACCAATTCTCTACAATCTCTTATAGACGATGAGAGCAAAGGAACTACTCCCTGAATCATTTAATGAGGCCAACATTACCCTAACACCAAAACCAGGCTTTACAAGAAAATAAAGCTTTTCTTATCTCTCAGAACACACACGCAAAAATATTCAACAAAATATGAGAAATTTGAATCCAACAACCCATAAAAATCATTGTATGCCATGACCAGGTGGAATTCATCCTAGTTATGCAAGGCTTGCTCAGCATTCAAAAGTCATTTAATGTAATCCATTATATCAGTAGACTAAATTTTAAAAAACGATTCTACCAATAGATGAAGAAAAATCATTTGGTAAGATTTAGCACTCATTCATGATAAAAATTCCTGGTGAACTAGGGGTAGAGGGAAGCTCCCTCAACTTGATAAAGAACATCCTCCAAAAAAAATCTACAGCTAACATCATAATTAACAGTGAGAAACTTAAAGCCTTCCCACTAAAATCAGGAGAAACAGCAATAAAGACTCCTCTCTCCACTTCTTTTTTAACTGGAAATTCCAGCTACTGGAAAAAGCAGGAAAAGGAAATAAAAGGCATACAGATTGGGATATAATAAATAAAACCATCTCTGTATGCAGATGACATTAGAAATTTGAAAAAAATAAAAAAAACTCCTAGAGTTATAGCAAAGTTACAGCATAAAAGGTTATAGCAAAGTTACAGCATAAAAGTTATAGCAAAGTTACAGCAAAGTTACAACATAAAAGGTTAATGTGCAAAAAATCCATTACTTTTTTATATACCAGCAATAAACAAGTAGAATGTATTTAAAATTCTAATTTTTAAAAGTGCACAAGAGATCTGAACAGATGCTTTACCAAAAACTTTAGTCAAGAGACCATAAACCATATAAAAGGTATTCCATTCACTTAGCAACCATATTGATATCCACTACACACCCTCTAGATGGCTAGAATGAAAAATACCAACATGACTAAGTATTGGCAAGGTATTGAAGCCATTTGAATGTTTCATAGCTGCTTCTGGGAATGTAACTTTACATGGACACTTAGAAAAGCTGTTTGGTAGTGTCTGCTGAAACTGTGTATAAATATTTATGACCCTAAAATTCCACTCTTAAGTCTACTCCGAGGTATCTATGTAAATCAGGGTAATATTCACTGTAACAATCCTTATAAGAGCCCCATATGGGAAACTCAAATTAGATCACCAATGGAATGAATGAATAATTCATAGTACATTCATAAAACAATATAAGTAAACCAATGTTCTTTTTCTATGCAACAACAAGAATGAATCTCATAATCATAAAAGAGTAAATAACTCATGATTCCAACCTACAGTGTTCCATGCTGGAGAAGGGTTACCTTTTGGTAACCCTTTGCAGAAGGGATTTCTGAGGTCCTTATCAAGTTCTACAACTTGATCTGGGTACACAATCCACAACTGTGTTCACTGTGTAAAAATGTATCAAGCCGTGTCCTAATAATTTTGTACTTTTCTGTATGTATTCTATACCACAACAAAAACAATGTAAATTAAATCTTTTAAGACAGGTCCAAAGCACCACAAGAACACTTCAAAATCCTTTCCCTACTCTAATTAGTGAACCACGGAACGTTAAAGAGCTTGAGAGATCTTCTGGTTATAGTCTCTCATTTCTCAAGTAAGAAAATGAGGGCCCTCAGGAAAGGCTATTTGACTTGCTAAGGTCAAGATCTTCCTAGACATGAGCAATAAAGACACACCCATGCACCAGCTCTTCTTTTCTCTGTTCTCTCCACTATAGGGCAGTGCCTCTTCTTTGGTCTTAGAGTCGCATGGTTCTCCAGAAACAGCTATCAGTCATGACTTGTTTGCTTTTCTTAAGATAAACATTATACAGCAGAGCAAGAGGAGAATTGAAATGAATTATTCTCATTATGTGCAACAACATGCATAATGGGCTCTTGGGTCAAATCATTTCTTATTCAATGATAGAGGTAGGGTATGGGGTAGGGTAGCAACCCCCACTTTTCCAGTTTCCTGTGATGGTCACCTTTCTCCTGTATTGAAGAATGTAGGCTCATGTAGTCAGGGGCAAGTGTACTCACTGATGTGCAGGACACAATTCAGACGTTAAAAAGTCATTTGAAGATGAGTCCCTGTTGTCATTAAATTTAAAATAGTGAGCTACAGTTTCTGTAAGTCATAAGCCTCCTGGACGCAGACATGAGTAACTGCGATGAGGTCTGTGTCTGTTACTAGGAAATGACACATGACTATTGACGAGGTTGATGGATTTATTCCCAACAAGTATCTTTCCTTCACAACTCTACTGAGAATGGAGAAAAGCTGTACTGACAACTTCAGGCCAGTTGAGCTCCCTCTTTGAGTTTTTTCCACCTGCCAAATGCTGGACTGCTTGTAAACGAGAGCAGATGCATCTTTAAAAGTCAGCCATGTATCCTTACTCACTGTTGGAGTCCCATCCAAAGAGCCACCTAATCGCTGGAGAAAATCACAGTATTTTGATTATTTGGAAATCAGGAAGTCAGCAAGCAAAGGAGAAAGGCTCGACTGATTTGGTGAGAAAACAAGGTTTAATACACTGTCTGACGTGCAATAGGGTTTCAAGTAAAAACAAACCTTAGGAGTGAATTTGGCTACAAGAGAGTTTCTTGGAAAATTTAATTTCTCAAGAAAACAGTTTGTAAACAAGAAAATCCCGATATATTTATTTGTAATCTTGTGGTCCAAGGAAATTAGTGAAGCCTCTGGAAATAAAGATTTACTGTTGAAATGCTACAGAAGTGTTTTTCTGGATTAGCACAAAAACAAATCAGCAGGCTTCCGTTACAGTGCAGATCTTCCGGGGGCTACGACAAAAATGGCTTTTCACTCCAGCATCTTAGTAATCATTTCTAGGACACAACTGTGATTACAGCCCATTTTCAGCATCCTCAAAATAATTCTTCCCCAAGCACGTCATTATTTTCTTTCCACGAGTCTTCCTATATTTCTTGGCAGTTTCAAAACTGTTTTTGGACTCTTTCATGATGCTGATGATAACTCCACACCCACATTTGCATCCTTTCATTTTTCAAGTTGTCAGAGCACATTTCAAAATATTAAAAAATGTTAGACTATTTTCCCACAACCATTAAGATGAAAAATAGATTTAGAAAAAATTCTAAATCTAGAAAATTATAGAGAAGATCTGAGATAAATTCCAAATTTTCCCTGTGAATGCAAATAACAGCATGTGAGCCCAAAGTTAATACCCTTCCTTATTACTGAAAATGGAATTCTTCACACGCAGCCAGAGAAAAATGCAAACAGCTGCAAGACACAGCTAATAGCAATCTTAGCCATCCCCAACCTGACTCCAGGAGCAAGCCATGCAAGGAATAACAGATGCTAAATGCACCCCCATGTGTCATGTCAGTTGCAGAATAATATTAACGCTGCCTTTTTTGGTAATAGAAATTTTAAAAAATGATCGAGTGTATGTGCCTAGAATACAGATTTATATCACCAAGATACAGAAATTGCCCACAATGCTCTCACTCATTTGGGTGGCATAAAACATAGAACACAGCCACCACATCTTACGGCGCTGAAATATCTTGACTGAGGTCTCAGCGAACACCAGGAAGGACCAAGCTAAAGGCATGGGGGCCCCTAGAGGCTGACGTGCAAATGCTGGCTTGCAGGATGGGCTACAAGCTCTCCCAGATCACTGGAGAAAGAGGCAGTGAGGTGTAAACCAGACCCAGATGGGTGCTGGGGGAGATAGCCGCCAGATAGTAAACCAGAGTAAAAGCAACAGAAATGCTAGTATGATCTTGCTCAAATAGTGTCCTAGAAACAAGGTGGCTTAATGTGTACAACAGAAAAATGAAAGTGAAGGCAAAGGAGTTCTGTTAATAAAATAAATGAATAAAAAAAGAAGGAAGAGAAGAGAAAGAAGGAAGGGAAGAGAAACAGAAAGAATGACAGGAAGAAAAACAGAAAGAAAGACAGAGAGTAAGAAAGAAAGAAAGAAAGAAAGAAAGGAGGGAGGGAGGGAGGGAGGAAGAAATAAAGGAAAGAAAAAACTATTGCACCCCAAGTAAGAAGGTCAGAAAGAAACCAGAGAGGTCAGTTGGACACTGCAGTGTTGACAGGCTCAAGTAAGGAAGGAGTAGCTATCTTCATTCTTAGTTTGGAATAACTAACTAGTTCTTAGTTTTGACTACAAGATCATGTAAGTTGCAAAGACGTGAAAGTCAGTCTGGTTTTCTAGCCTGTGGACTTGTCGGTGCCACCAACCCATTTTTTCTTCCACCAACTTTAGTGGAATCTTCACGGAGGTTGTTTCAATGGTGCATCGTATGTCTAAACTAATTCAACTGTCTACCTGACATATGTAGTTTATGCATATCAATTTTACCTTAATAAAGCTGTTCTTTAACAAGAAAGGTTTGCTTTCCTTGAAGTGTTGGTATTTTCCCTATTTTCTAATAATACAAATATATTTCCTTTTTGGACAAATCTTGAGCTTTCTGTCACACCCACGTAGCTCCTTAGAGCTACAGATTTATGTCCTTTACTCTGTTCTTCATTTTCACATTTTCACTTACTTTTCCTCTTCATCTTTCCATTTTACTAATTTTTTTGTGATTTCTTGTGCAATCTGCTCCAAATTTGTAAGGTTAGGAGGTTATTTTTGTTAACTTAAAAAAAAAATAAATCCTTGAGTTGAGTGATCATTTCTCTATTTTTCCTTGATGAGTATCAGAAATATAATTTTTCAAAAACATAGCGCATTTAATTGAGAACTAAACACAGCAGCCTGTTTCCCATCATTATCCACTAGCATTAGTGTGTTTTGAGAATAAACACTTCTTTTGGTATGCCCTCTCCTAGAATCAGTAGACTACTGTGAGTCAATAAGTTTGTCAAGAGCAAACACAATTTCCATGTGTGTGGTAAAATACACTATTATCTAATGAATAAATATGTCCTTCACCCTGAATAAGAGTGGCTCTCCTTCCTGGGGACAAAGAAACAATAACATTCTCTACATGGAAAAGGTGGAAATTCATGTGTCTTCCTAGAGGAATAAAAAATACCAAGCCACAGTCTGTGTGGGGTTGCCACTCAACCTGCAGAGACTGTTCAGAAAGGAAGAATGTGGCTGAGGAGTCAAGGGATCAATGCACGGTGTCCATTCTGAAGCCGATGAATGTTCCCTGTCTGTGCCGTTTCCCACAGACCAGTCCTCTTCAGGAGGTAAAAGCTGTTCTTAAAGCAGATACATACTCTCGTGCATCTTTTTAGTATTTGAACCAAGTAATTTTGTTAGTACTTAGAGATTGTAAAAGGAACAAAGGCTATAATGCCCACAATGCTCTCACTCATTTGGGTGGCATAAAACATGGAACAAAGCCACCACACCTTACGGCATTGAAATATCTTGACTGAGGTCTCAGCGAACACCAGGAAGGACCAAGCTAAAGGCATGGGAGCCCCGAGAGGCTGCAACAGAATTGCTTTTCCTCTGCTGGCTGCAACCATTGTTTTTGGGATGGGTGCAGAGAGGTCAGGTGTAGGGCCCAGAATGCCTGGGTTCTACTCGGTTTGACCACCAACTGGCTGTTCCCACCAGTTCCAGTCACTTCCCTGTGACAGGATTTGGGGCGGGTGATGCGGCACAGATGGCCCTCTTTCACTAACCCCCTGTCCTCTTCCTCCAGAGCACATGACTAGGTGACATTTCTTAGGCCACTGTCTGAGTTCTCCCTCCAGGAACATCACCCCTTCCTTGCACGTCCCACCATGCTCTATCTGTCCCCAGCTCCCAGCTGACTGCAATGGAAAACAAGGTCCTGGAAGGGAAAAGACCACAGGATAGAAGAAAACTTGGCCTCCAAATGACTGCGTGGAACAGAGACCACCAATCTACACTGGAGTGTGATGTGAGTCAGAAATGAAGTTTTGGTTTAAGGCTTAAACTAGCCTTTAATCTCAAAGCCATTGAAATGTGAAGAATAGTCTACCAATTGGCAAATCTAAAGAGTTTTACAAAATTCCCTTCTTTCTCTAAAGTGTTAAAAACTACTACCTCCTTTTCAAGAGTCAAACTCTACCTCCCCAATGTTTTATGCCCTAAATGAATTAGTGCTATAATAACATTTCTAAAAAATGCTACCACCACAGGATTTTGTAGCCAGAACAAAATGTAAATACTCAGGTTTTTCCATCTAATGAGAAATGCATCTTGTAAATACATACATACACACATAGTAAACAGAAAAATAAACTCAGCTACATGTCCTTATTATGTATACAGTTGTATGCGTCTAGATCTTTCTATTCACTGACTGAATATGCATGGATATAAAAATAAGAATTTTAAAAAAATAAATATCGGTGAAAAATATGTTGGTCTGGTTCATGTCCTGGGGCTCCTTTTGGCCATTGTCCTGATCTGAGTTGCGACCTTCCTCTACCAACTCAATGTTGGATTAAGTTGTCAGGCCTCAGTGCTCCAAGGAGGTGTTCAGCAAACTCTTTGGTCAACTGAGTGTCTCAAGACACCTTTGAGAGGAAACCACATCGGGGAACACAGCCTGGAGCTGTTTGCATGAGATCCGGCTAACCAGGCAGTAAGCATCAAAGGCACCAGAAGATCGCACGTCCGGCTCAAGGAGTTCATACCTTAGAAATTTGTGCAGATACTGCCGGCTGCAGGGTGACCAGGAGAAGACCCCGTTGCGTCCTGCCAATGTAGGGGACATGATGTTGCCCTCAGACTTTTTGCACATGTTTCCTTCTCCATCATGAACCATGCCAAAGCTACAAGAGACAGAGATCAATGGTTCTTTTAGAACAAAGAACAGTTTAAATTATTTAATACACTCTAACAATTGCAGGTCAAGACTGTGGGAGTCTCCTATTGCTGTATTTGAGGCAGGCACAAACAGAAGCCATAACAACCAATGTGTTGAGAGTACTCACGTGTTCATAGACTGTTTCTGAAGAACAGACCATCCATGGAATTGTTTAAAAGTGGATATTGATTTGAAATCAGAGTAAATGTCCAGAAGCCTGCATTTCAAGTGGGCTGAGGAGGACCTGTGATCTCGCTAAAGTGAATACCGCTCTATGTCACTTCCTTTTCTCTCTATTATTTTCTCTTCACTGGGACTGTCAGAATTTCCAAGGCTGTTTCCTAGAAATACAGATGTCAGGCTCCCAGATGTTAAGTCAGGAAAGAGAGATCCAGGCATTTGAGCCTTCCCGACAAGCTCCCCAGGTAAGCGTGATGTCTACCGCAATTTGAGAGCTCCTTAGTTAGCAGCTACAACTAACTGCCATTGTCCCCACACCTACCAGGGGCTACTCTTTCTCAGACTGCTGAAGGTTGTGACAAGTAGGTAGTACTTGACCCCAATCCCTGCATTTTTTTGGAGGGAGTCGCTCCACAGAACTCCAATGGGTGAACACGGCTGAGTATAGTATTTGTGGGTATTGTTTGAAGCAGCATAGATTACTCCTTAGTGTAAACCAGACCGCTTTGAGAATTCACACCTGGCTTAGACATCCCAAGACACAACAGCTATAGGAATGCTTAATAGGGCTAATCAGAGGTGTTCAAATCCCGTGATGCCAATCAGCACCCGCTGAATGACTCTTAAGAAAACTGCAGCCCTGCACCTGTGAGACTCACCCTGACCTGAGTTGCCACCTTCCTCTACCAACAAGTCCACGTCCTCTCCTTAATTTCAGAATGCTTAGCCTAGAGAACAGCTTGGCACTGCCATCTTCAGTCATCCCAGAAGAGCAACACATATTGTCTCTTAGGACAACCTTAGGAGCTACAGATTTGGTAGCTCTACGTGACCCTAAAGACCTCCCTGGAGCAAATATATTCTTGGAGAGCCAAGCCACTTTCACCATTAAAGTCTGGTATCCAGTCATTGCATGGACTTTTTGAGAACAGAGTCCTGAGTGGTGAGATACAATAGAAAGGGAAAGGACTAGAGAGAGAGAAAACAAAGAAGGACATGGTGGTTTTTAGATCTAGGGGCATTCTACTACCAAGAGTCCCATGATTAGTGAAGGGAAGGCATCAGGGACCAAAGAACACGAATGGGGCGGGGGGTGAAGTGGGTTCCAAAATGTGGCAAGAGACTCTGTCTTGTTGCCATAGCTGAAGACACAGTTGTCCACTTAATTGCTTTTCTTAGAGCTGTTTAGTCATAGGAGTAAAGATAGTAATTAACATTTATGAGCATTTACTATTTTATCGTTATGATGTTAACCATTAGCCTATATTATAACCTAAAACTCAACACAGCCTTATAAGGTAAGTTAAATATAAAGACAGAAGATTGAGGCCTGGAGAGAGAGCTTGTCCAGGGTTGCAGAGTCAAGTCTGGAACCTGGACACTACGATGTCAGAGCCCAAGCAGGATCCAGGCAATGGTGTAACCTGAGTGTGATTGAAGGGTGTATCCAAGGAAATCTGGCATGCAAATACTGCTGAATGTCTGCAAAATCTCTGATCGGTACCAGGGATGATGCAGATGTGGTCATTTAGCCTCCACCCATTCTCTGAAGTTCTATTAAAGGCAATTAATCAAGACCAGGGGAACCATATGGCAGAGGAAATGTGTCATGGCTGTGAAAAGGATTCAGGCTGAAATCCCACATGGGAGGCTGGCTTGGGGAGAAAACGATGAAATGAAATGCCAAAAGACCTTCCTCTGTCTGGCCCTTCAGCTGCTTATAAGGAAGACATCATGTTTCAGCAATGGCCCTTGATAAATTTGCTGCCACTTCTTTGTACATTTCTAAGAAATTCAAAGTCGCAATTTCTCAGGCTCGGTCACATCTCGGTCTTTATTAAATGTTTTCATCTAAGGTATTTTCAATGATTCCTGCTAGCACTGAGTCTCAAACTCTGCCACGCATCAGAACATCTGAGAAATGTACAGCATGCTGTGGATACCCAAAGTCCGCTGTGACAGATTTCTGATTTTGTAGGCTGAGGGTCGGGATCGGGCATCTGGGTGTGTTCTAACACATCCCTGTGTGATTCTGACACCCACCAAAATTCTGGCAGCACTATTTCACAAGTTGTGTTCCCAATCAGTACAGTGCCCAATGCCCACATATGTAATGTAATGGATTCCAGTAGATCGGCACAAAAGTGCACACAGTCATCACATTCAATGTTAACATTAATAAAACCATGGGAGAATACATAGCACACATTTTGAAGACAAGGTTGGTATTTGGAAACCAAGAAATATAATCACTATTCAAGTTACACAGACCAGATCATTTTAAACTTGTTCCTGTACAAGATTTTAAAAGATAGATTTCTCTTATTCATGTATACAAGCCAACTGCCCATAAACTCAATAGCCCATAGCAGGTCTCCATTCAAGTCTGTTGAATAAATAAAGAACAGCTTTTCCAGCTATCACACTAACTCAAATAACTAAGTATAAACCTGATTTCAAATTAAAGTGAATTTGAGAATATTCAATGTCAAAGCTTTCAATGTCTTCCATACTATTTTTTGAGAGATTCAATTATTTTTGGCAAGGATTTATTCATTACTAATGATAAACCCAGATTGAGGACCAGCTAGGCAAGTGTTTTTAGAGGTTGTGCCACTCATTTCAGGTTGCTCAAACAGCAGTGGTTGAAGGAATGAGACACCCCTTAAAGGAGGCATAGACCAATGTGTTTTTTTGTTTTTGTTTTCAACCTATTTATAAAAATGTTTAATGAGATAAAAATTACAAAACATCAAAGTCACCAATTTAACCATTCTAAAGTGCATAATTCGGCTGTTTATAATACATTTTGCAATCATCACCACTACCTAAATTTGGAAACATGTTCATCACCTGAGAAGGACGTTCCATATCCCTTAGGCAGGAACTGCCCTTTTTTTCCCTCCCCAGCCCCTAGAAACTGCCAATCTACTACCAATTTCTAAGCATTTGTCTACAAGAATGCCAAGATCATTCAGTGGGGGAAAGGACAAATGGTGTTGGGAAAACTGGATATCCAAATGCAGAATAATAAATTCGGGCCCTTCGTGAGACATACAAAATTAACTCTATGGATGAAAGATATGAATGTAAGAGCTAAAATTATAAAGTCCTTAGAAGGAAGTGTAGGTATAAATCTTAGTGACCTTGGATTAGGCAAAGTTTTCATAAATACAACTTCAAAAGCACAAGCAGCCAAAGAAAAAATAAATATCTGGACTTCATCAAAATGAAAACTTCTGTGCATGAAGACACAATCTAGAAAGTAAAAGCACAAGTCACAAAATAGAAGAAAATATTTGCAAATGGGCCAGTGTTATCTGGATGGTGAATTCTACCCTCGGCATGATGATAGGGACCACAGATAGCATCGAGATGCCCAGAACCCTGATGTAGGGTTGACATAGGTTTCTTGAGAAACACAGCTCATCCTCAGTGACAGGCGGAAGGCTGAGCTAGAGATATCAGTTGGGGGGAATTGGGAGACTTGGGCGGACAGATACCGGGAGAGATCATGGGCTGTGAAGGTGGTGTGGGGACCCCAGTCAGGTTCGTGGCTCTGTCATTCACAAGCTGCTTGATACTGGGCAAATTACTTAAGACCACAAGCCTCAGTTTCTTTATGTGCAAAATGGGATAATTAAATCCTCCTCATAAACTATACAGAATGCCTGTGACTAAGCACATGACAAAGGAAAATTCAAAGCTTCTGTCTCTTCCTGATTCAGATGTGGACTTGTTCAAATTACTCAACATCTAAATGTCACTCATGTACATATGGTGTGTGTGTGTGTGTGTGTGTGTGTGTGTATGTGTGTGCTCAGTCAAATGTCAATGGATTTCTAATACATCCTGGACACAAAAACAAACAAGAAAATCTAAGATAAATGACAACAAATAAAATTGGTAAGAGCTGTTGTTCTACCAGCTGGAGTTTCTCAGAGGGCAGACCGACAATCACCAGACCAAATCATGGTTAACAGGCTGCCTTTCTCCGACATTCCACAAGTCTCTGAATATCACTGAGTGCCTCTCTGACCCAGCGGAATGGGCCCAGGTTGGTGACAGAGCACAGCTACAAATTGGTGGTTTGAACACATCATCGTCAAATGCTGGAGAGGGTACTGCCAGCGAAGTGTGATAGAACTAAATGGCATTATTAAGCTAGGTAGCAGTGACACCAGTTCTGTGACTTTCAAGAACACCTCTCTGATTGTCCCTGTCTGGTCTCGTACAATACCTACAGCCCTTATTACTTGATGCCTTGCATGATATGCCTATTTCATCTTTTCTCTTAAACTTTTGGAGAATTTGGATTGCTAGGTTTTTCTTTTTCTTAGTAGAATCTACATAATTCCTTATTGGCAAAATTTAAAAAAACTATGTCCAGTGAATAGGTCCAAAATTTCAGGGAGAAAGATGAGACAGAATGATGGATCATTAATACTTCTGAGCATAGTGAATATATTTTAATAGTGTCTTAAATGGTCAAAATGATAGTGCAACTTCACTACTTAAGCCTATTTTATGTAATAAGAATTTTCAGCTCAAATAATACAACTTAGATTGCAGCTGTACTCACGAGCCTAGGAGCTCACAGTACCCTACTGGATTTGCAGATGAAAAACCTAGGTTAGAGCTGACCCAGTGACACTGTCTGGTCACTATCAGGCTGTGGTCGTGCTGCAGAGATCTGGAATCTGAGTCCCGGGCCCTCCCCACCAAATGGTATGACTTCCCTCAGCAAATGGGAATTTTTCAAATGGATTTATGCCCAGATGATGTATTCTCAAAAATGTGCAGTTCAGGCCTTGGTGTGTCTGTGCCAGTGCCCAACACCTGCACCTAGCAAACCGCAAGTCCTGTGTCAAGTGATTTAACAGAAGCAGGAAACTATCCTCACACTACTGTCCTCAAAAAAGTTCTAATTCAATCCCAGGTACCAAAAGAGAATATATATCTCGATCCTAGTTCTCTGTCTCTCTTCCTCACTTTCCCAACATGAATCCAAACACTTGTTCTTAAAAATTTCTATTTTTAGGTCAGATTCCTCAGTATAAATGACACGGTATTTTGAGATGAAAACAGGTGAACTTTAGAAGAGGAAACTGGATGGGCACTAACTGAAATCTTTCTCTGAGTTAAAGGTTAAAAAGTCCACTGCTTCAGGACATGGAAAAGCGTCTCCACCCCAAATAATGTACTCTAGATGGTAATAGACATGAAGATGTAAAATTTACCTTTGAAGCAGGGTGTGTTACATGTCTTTTGTAATAAAAGTTGTAATCGATGCAAAACGAGTTTTTAATTCTGAAGTCATAGAACCAAAAAATGGGTTCTCTTTGAGCTCATTGCCAAAGATAAGATAAAGACTTTTTGTTTATGCTATGACTTTTGAGTCATGCATCAAACTTGCAATGCCTTCTTCAAGAAATAACACGAAATAGACGCATTGACCAAATGTGTTTGTCTTCCATTCCACTCAACCAATACCCAGGGAGTCGTCTTACAGTGTCATTAGCCACAGCCTTTCTCATCTGAGGTAGATGTCACAGTTAACAACTCATCTGAAATGTCCACTCTCCATCTGCTCACTTGTCCTGCCCTGGCTCACTCATTCCCCCCATGCCATTCACACGCATTTGCTGAATGTTTAGCATCAGTCCCTTGGCTAGTGAAGGCAAGATAAGGGATTTTCCTGAGTGGTCTCCACGGCTTGAGCTATATGTGAAATTCCTTAGTCGATTTTACATAAAGCGTTCCACAAAAGCAGATATTACTCTTATTATTATTGCTATCACCATCATCATCACTGGTGTTGACATCCAGCACATGCTAAATACATTTTTTATTTTCATTTCCACAGAGCTCCACGAAGAGCAAGCACTACTATTTTCATGACCATTCTTCTTCCTTTATTACTGTTGCTATTTTAACACTCATCTTGGCACTTAGCACATGCTAAATACTTTCCCTATTTTCTCAACATGATTAGAAGCCATTTTGTTGATGAGTTCCCAGTTCTCTGTAACTTGCACAATGTCCTCTAAACACCAGGTGTTCGAGAAGGGTCTGATGATTTCTGGGGGTTGATTCTACGAGCAACAGGATTTCCTGCACCCCCATATGTTCATCTCCTTTCTTTACTTCCTTCTCTATTTTCTCTTTCAAATAAAACACTTTGTTCTTGTCGGGAGGAAAATCTTTTGCCATCTAGAGCCAGTCTGAGTAAGGAGAGGAAATATTAATAATTGACTTCTAAGAAAAATAAACGCAAATGCGGACACTTGTTTTGCCACTGAAGACTAATCGAGAGCCAAGATGCGTGTGTCAAGTTTACCCTCCACGAAGTTCACCACCTCCCACGGCGAGTGCTGCCAGTGCCCCTATCTCAACTGCCTATCGAATGCTGACCTGCTCAGCCCTTGACTTAAATATTTCTGGCCTTGACTGTTTAATTAAATTCAGGTATGGTTCAGAGGACAGCAAGAGCCACATGTCGTTACAATAATGAGAGTTTTTGAAGTTTTCACTCTAGCAGGCTATTAAAAATACAATTATGATTTAACTGAAAGCTTTGTAAAGTATAGGTGTAATTTTCTAAGCAATCAAATAGTCAATCATTACCTGTAATGATGAGGGGATCAGTAAAGGGATATAAAGCTTCGTTTTCAGGTCATCAGTTCACACACAGCCAAAACCTGCAGGGCCTCCAGGGGATTTCACTAAACACAAGCACACACATGTGCCTGTCTACACACACACACACACACACACACACACACACACACACACACACACACCCCTCCCCAGTGCTTTGAACAGGTCTGGGTGACAGAAGACTGTGACCTCAGTCCATTTTCCAGTAAAGGGTAGAAAAGTTGGCTTTGCCTAAACACAGATCACAAACACTGCCTTGGTATTCCTTTTGCCAGTAAAATCATATTGAAAATAAAATAATAGAAAAGATGTAAGTCCTGGTTGGACATTTTCTGGAGGAAATTCAAGTACAGTTTCAGTGTGGCAAGAAAACACTTGGCTTTCTAATGCTGGCCCCCAGGACCACTGCAAGGAGCTGGCAGCTGCACAGTCAGTAGGTGGGTCCTTGACTCTTTTTTAAAAATAGATACTCCCTCAAGGTAGGACAGCTCATAGAGTTTTTAGCCTAAGATATCTTATCCAAGGCCGGGCTCGGTGGCTCAGACTGTAATCACAGCACTTTGGGAGGCCAAGGCGAGTGGATTGCCTGAGCCCGCAGGTTCTAGACCAACCCAGGCAACTTGGCAAGACCTCGTCTCCATAATTAAAAAAAAAATTAGCTGGGCTTGGTATCACGCAGCTGTAGCTCCTGCTACTAGGAAGGTTGAAGTGGAAGGATCATCGGAGCCCAGTAGGTCGATGCTGGAGTGGCCATGAGTGTGTGATTGCATTCCAGCCTGGGCAAGGGGTGAGACCCTGACAGAAAGAAAGAGAGAAAGAGAGAGAGGAAGAAAGGAAGCCTTATCCAAGAATAATAGCTTCCGTACATAATTGCTAGAAATTATTCATTCTACAGGTATACATGTAAGTTTTTCAGGTATGAACATGGCATGAATAACATACCACTTATTGCTAAGAGCTGCCAGGCCAGGACCAGCGTCCATGCTGAGCCCCAGGGTCCTGGGGCATCCTGATGCTGACCCACTTCAAAACCACCATCTACACTGCAGTCAGGGGTGGAATAAGGAAAGCAAAGCAAATTTTACCAGGGATGCTCAATTTCTTCTCTGCTCAGCATTCTAATCCAAAAAGCAACATCTCTACAGATTATAAAAATATACATCAAAGAACACAAGCATCGGTGGGATTGCTTGATACCACCTTAGTCATTTGGAATCGCTCAATAGTATCTGACTGTGGAATGAGATCAGACCACAGGGCCAAGTTCAAAATACAGGACGGAGGAATAGAATGAGACAGAACCATCCCCAATCTTAGGCACATGCTGTGTGAATAGGAATGTCAGAGAAGAACATATCCAGGGAAGTGTAAACACGCGCATTGTTGTGACTTTAAAATGCACATGGTAGAACACCAAAAATAAGACAAAAGTCTCACATGATTGCATTATATAACTTTCAATGGCATTCTTATTGGATATATGTGAATTCCTCTTATTTTTTTAAACTCTTATGGAAATCATCTGGTAAGAAATATATTTTTATGGCAATCATCCAGTAAAAAAAGGAACCGAGACTCCACCCTCCTGTGGAGATGCACTTACTTGTGTCCAGACTCGTGAGCAACGGTGAAGGCCAGTCCAAGACCAGTATCTTCATTAATCGTGCAGCTGCGATATTTACTACACATTCCACTTATGGGTGCAAAGCCTATGAGGCACAAAGATTAAAAGCGTATAGAGGACCATTGTTGTAATAAAATAGAGTTGTGTATTTTCTGTCCCTTAGGGAAATTTGGTACCCTCGGACAAGCATATAAAGGACACTTAATCATGTGGAAGAAGGGGATGTATCCCCAAGAGCCCAAGGACTCTCTGTGTCATGAAAAAAATTCATGGCTTTATGCAATGTTCTTGTTAAGGTTATAATTGGGACAAAACAGAAGAGGGAATTTATTGCAGATGGAGGAAAATGTTTGCCTTATTCTATAAACATCCATATTCAAAAAATCCCAAGTAAAAAAGTACTGCAGAGAATGGGTGTGTTGGGAGGTCCCCAAGACCACCCCCAGATTTAATGATTCACATTTGCCATAATAAGCACTTGTCATACTCACAGTTATTATTTAACATAACAAATGGATACAGGGAAAAAATCAGCAAAGCTGGAAAAAACACATGGGAGAAGTCCTGGGGAAAACAGGCTTGAGTTTCTAAAAGTCCTCTCTCAGGGGAGTTACATAGGACTGCTTATCAGTGAACTGTGACAATGAAGGTAAAATGTTGTCTACCAGGGAAGCTCATTAGGGACTCAGTGTCCAGGGTTTTCATTGGTGGCTGGTCACGTAGGTATCCACTGCCTTGCATGTACCAAAATTCTAGATCTTCAGAAGGAAAACAGGTATAAGGATAAGCCATCTTATTTGTACAAACAGCTTAGACACAGTGAGCCACTCTTATTAGATCGGGTCAGAGGCCAGCCCAGAGCCAACCTTTAAGCAGGTCTTTCTAAGGCAAGCCAGGCCACTCTGTTAATTCTGTTTTGAGCAATAGGACTAACCTTGATTAAATTGGGTTCTATCTGAAAGACTTTACAATTAAAACCTTTCCTCCTAGGAACTTAGGAAAAATGGAGAGTTAGAAAAAAATGTTTTGCAGAATCCTGGCCAGGAGCACACTGTTTTATACATTTGAAAAAAAGAATAAAAATACTGCCTACAAGTTATACTCAGCCCTGTAAACAGCCAAAAAAAAATTGCTAAGATTGAGATAGAGAAAAATGAGACACATAATATTGTTTAATATCTCTACATATTTTCATAAACGTATTCTTTCTGCCACATCATGACACCCCCTTGAATTCATCTCCTCCATTCTCACAAATGGTAGAAGAAATTATTTAGCATTTTAGAAGAGATAGGAAGTCCTACACCTTCAAGAGATTTTCCTTGTTCATGGACCACTCCTGATGAATAAAAGCATACCCTAAGGCTTGACCAAAGTTTATACAGGGAAGTGAGTTCATTCTTTACAACTGTACTCATCAGCAGCTACTTATTAATATGGAACCAGGACGAGGACACGCTGTATCCTACGCCACCCACCAAGGGTGACACCCCACACATGGTACTCAAAACTTGACTGGAAGGTCTTACCCAAAGTGTCACAGGGTTCGTTCTTCCAGGAACATATATCCAGACCGGTGAGTAAGATGGCGTGGTCATGGCGAGTTCCATCTTTCCCCATCAATCCAGACTGCCACTGGCAGAAGCTACTTAAGGTGTGGTCTGCGTGGTGACTTATCACCAGCCCTGGCTATGCAAGAGAGATCAAGGACCCCATGATAATGGAGAGAAAACATGCTACAAGGCACTGTCATCAAAACAAACTGTCATTGACTTGGATTTCAAATACGTTGGTGAATCTGAATGGCACATAAGGGAATGCATCCATTTTATGTATTAAAATCCAAAGGAAGGTGTATTATATTAAAAAACTGTACAGATTCTGTGTAGTCACACTTGTTTACATTTCTTCCAGTTTTTGTACAGAAACAATTGGAATGTATCTGGCTGACCCTAAATGCATGCTCAATGATCCCAGAAAGATTACTTCTGTGTATACATTTTCTGCATTTAAAATCTCTGGAAAATACTTTTCAAAGTGAATTAAGATGACATGATAACTTATATGTGCTTTGCACTGCATACACGAAAACACACCTGGACAGTGATGGGTTCATTTCATAATCAAGTTACGCAAGTGGGATTTGCAATGAACAACTCTTTAAATATCTATCATTCCACTGTTCAGTAACTTTCCTACAGAGGTAACATGTTTATGAAAATAGGTAGGTCAATGAGTAAAGTTCTATTTCTGGGAAATAAACTGTAACTAGAAGGAAAATATATAGAAGACATTAAAATTTATCCGTATCTACCAAGTTCGGATAGAGCAACCATGAAATCACAGAAAGAAGCTCTTGGGAACTGAGGAATTTAGGGGGTAGCTGGAACATCAATCAGGCCTGGCTGCACCAAGCTATTGAAACTTATTTAGATGTAAAGCTGTGCCATATTTTTCCTACAGAAAACCAGGGCAATTACCTTGACTTCAGAACACAATCTTGTTTAAAGCTTTCACTGGTAGAGTGCTCTGTTGACACCTTTGTCTCTCACTCACTGAATATGTTTTCTCTCCAAATGCTTATTTGGTTTTTCCAGAGAGTCAGATATGCCTCAGCTAAATGCTATACATAAGCACTGGGGATGCCTTGCATTCTTCAGCAGGTGATTTCCAGGAAAACGGCATTAATTAAAGTTAGCACAGGTGTACGATCAAACGATAACCTCGCTTATTCTTTGCAGCTTGGATGAATTCCAAGGTGAAAACGTTTTAATACATGGAATAATTAACCTGTCACCTGAGAAGCCCTGCTGGTTCAGCAGTCCCCTCCCCAGGCACACTCTCACAGAAAAGACAATGAGGTTGTATCTTTCCTGACTACTCAGGCTCGAAATAGCCCTGCCCACACACAGTCCACCCTGCACAGAAAAAGCGCGACATCTCAGACCTTTAACATCTGAAGTTATTGTTGATCTTATGAACGATCTCAAATTTCATCTCAAAAATTCTTTATTTTACAAACAAGAAAACTATGGCTAACAAGAGACTCTGACGATGTCAGCAAGGGCGGAACCGAATGCCGGGTGCCTGGCTTGGGTCCGGCGGCCATGCTCTTTTGCCGAGTCAATGATTAGCTTGGGGTAAAACAGAAGTGAGAGCCTTTTATGACTAAGATGCCCTATTACTTATGCCATGGAATGTTTATATGCACTCTCGGTGTGAAGAGTGTGCCTCTGTTTATTGACAGGGGACTGGACAGGAGGCAAAGAGGTCATTTCACCCACTGCTGCCAAGAACCATGTAATTTGGGAGTTTTCATTCAATGAAAGAAATGTACTTGGCATCCCATAGAAATAACTACCAAATAAAAATCTAAGAGTGAAGGTGCTGAGGATTAGGATGGGGGAAAAAGGGAATAAGGCCAAGTGGTGCCATGCAGTACAATGTAACTTCTAGGCTACAAAGCATGATTCTTCCTCTAGCAGAACGCAGAAAGGTCTCGTTCCAACTGGCATCCTAAAAGCTCACAGAGGCTGAAGACACATTTTTTTTTACTTTGCATTCCTTGTGTGTTTCCCACTCATATATTTACAGCAGTGCTTACATTCCATTTTCTCATAAGGCAATTAAAAGAATATTTCTTACTAGCCCTGCACAAAAACAAACAAAATATTTAAGAGAACTAAAAGAAACTAATTGCGCTAGACACATAATATTCAATGCTTTTTCACCCCTAAGAGAAAGAACAATTATATTAAAGAAAAAAATTAATTTGCATTTATTTTTTTCTGGGGAAAAAAAGAGTTGAAGCTTCAAAGACAGAATACCTGTTCATCTTCTAGAAGAATCAGACCTACAATTGCAATGTTGATGTTTCCTCCTATCGTTCCGTCTTTGAATAAAGCGGACACCTGAAAAAGACGACAAATGCACATCAGTCCCATAAAGGTCAACATTTTTCTGCAGGTTGTTCATGGGCTGGAATCCTGCTATAGAAGGCCAACTCCCTTGTTCTTCAGTGTCAGAGCAATGCTCATTTTCTAATATTGCTAGACAGACAGGTATAGAAATCTGGTTATCAATTGTTGACTCTTTCTCAGTGGTGCCTGACAGTAAAGGCTGAAGTTTTGGGTAGGGGGAGGTCCACCTCTTATCATCAAATACCAAGGAAAGGTTTACAAGACTTCTGAATCTGTAAGTGTCCTTGTTAGAATATAGGCAGATTTTTAAACCCAGAGGGATGACCCCAGAAGCCAAGCACTCTCCAAACTTCTGATAAGGAATTCCATTTGGACACAGTAGTTGGGAGGAGATCAAGAGGCTACAAAAAAAGGAAGGAAAAGATCATGGTAAGATGATGAAAGAAAGATGGAAACATTAGCGATGATGGATTGTAGAAGTAGAAATGGTCAGAGTGGCATTCAGGGTGAGGAGCAGAGACAGTGGGATAACCCTGGGAGCTGAGGAGGCACCAGGTGTACAAATAATGGAAAAGCTCTATAGAATAGAGGCAGATGCTTCCATACATCAGAGCAGCTTGAGTCCCACTGTCCTTGTAGGGTAAATCCTTGACCCTGTGCCGTGAGAGGGGAGCTCTATTTCACCATTTCCCCTAACTCCCTGGGAGATCACAAACTGTCTACCAAGAGGGATGCTGGTAATAATAATCACGTGGCACCATGGATTTAAGGGTACTCTACTGAGGTAGAAGCATGTGAAAACACACATTTTAAAAAGTCTTTGAACCTATTTTTAAAAACCCTCTTTAGTGAGCCAAGATTTTGTCTTCTGTTACCTAGATCTCACATAAAATGGGGCTTAATATAATTCTTATCACTCTTAAATTATTAATATAGAGACAGAGACACATTTTATCTGAGGTGATATTCCAAAAGGTTGGACTGTTATTTCCATTTTTGTAGATTAAATAATAGATAGACAACATCTGAATATTAATATTTCTAGAAAAGATGGGTATTTCTGTATAGCCTTCTAAAATTATACATCTAATGCTGATAAACAGATTTACCGCACTACAGTGTTTAAATATCCTCTTAGAGATTTCTAGTAAAGACTTCAGTAAATCCAAACATTTCAGGGCTTACAGAGACTTACAGAGAGAGTCAATTTTTTTTGCCTCCTTATTTTATCCTCTGAAGTTCCGAAAATGGCTATTTTGACTGCCGCACAGAAAACAAAGAGTTCCACTCCTAAAATATTTCTTAAATATGGGACATAAATCCACAAGCAAAAAGTAAAATGCAGTACACACACATATACCTCTTATTAAGGATAACTACACAGGGTACCTCAGCCAGGATGCCCTTACCATATTGAGTATGGTCAGTACGTAGGTGGTGATATTTTCATGGCCGTGGTTCTGCATCATCTTCTTGTCAACCACCACCAATGTCTCAACATTCAGTTCTTCATTTCTATGGGACTTCAGAAGAGAGCGCTTATGTCGTAAGTCAGACTTGTACTCATCCGGCAAGATGAAGATGTCTTCGCTGGGCGGCTGGGGCATGTCTGTGGAGGGACACACACGAAGAACAAATTGCAGCAGAAGCCATCACGCAAAAAGCAGTGCTATAACTCGTCGCAGAGAAGGTTGGTCTTAAAAATGAATGCTTATGATAAAAACAGAATAGCGTTTAAAACGCTGTGATGCAAAAACTAATGTTCAATTAGCACACACTAAAATTAGATTAAGTTTGTATAGTCTAGGTGTCATGGAAATCATTGCTGTATTTACCTTTAGGAAATTTCATTCTGATTTAAAACAAGAGAGGGGATCCTTGGGCTCTGAAGTCCTAGTGTCCTAGTAGCTAGAAGGACAATCAATGTTCTAGGACAATGAGCACAAGATTTGTGAAAAGGGCTCTCCACAAAGACAAAGCGGTGGCACTAACAATTACGAAAAAGAGTGCTGGCTTGCTTTGTTTTCCCACCTGAAGACTTTTAATAATCTGCTGCTTTCTAAAGTTGATTTCAGTGTCTGGACGCATAACCGGTGTACTCTGTTTCAAATGGATTATAAAGTGCTCATGGCAGCTCCATTTCACTACAGTACTAAATTTTCTAGAAAGGACCATAAATATTTACCTAATCTGGTTGGCAGACAAAATCTCCTCTCTCCTTTTGAAGGAATCACTTTACAAATATTTTTGGCATTTATAATCATTAAGTTAACACTATATTAAAAACAATTAGGTTTAGCAGATGCCACAAAAAAATGTGGCAACCATTGCTCCCTGAGAAAGCAGACTTCAAAAAGCCTATATACTCAGGTGGCATGTGTCCAAAAACCATGCAAACCCTATTCATGGAACATGTAGTCAGAAGATGCCTTTTCGTTTGACTGGTACTCGGTCCAACACATTTGATCCCTCTTTGCTAAAATCTTTCCAAGTCCAAATGAACTTTTTGGAGAGTAATAATAACACCAGCTAATGAACTAATCACTGGCCATTAACATGTATGCAAGGTACACTGGCGAGAACTTCCCCCAGGAGCTGAGTCCACATAACTTACTCATTCTCTACACCAGCCAGTGCACAGGGTGCTGAGGATATGGCCTGGGAGGCCGAGGGCATGGTCATAACTTTCTCAAAGCCCTTCCCTAGAAAGTGCTGGAAGTGGTTTCAGACCTTGACAGTGTGGCCCTAGAGCCTTGGACCTTAATTTCCACTGGTGGAGAAATATGTGTAGATGGGAGCAGGATACAGCACAGGGCCTGGCAGCTATGGGCCCTTGGTCAGGTGCAGGGGCAGGAGGATGTGAGGGTGGTGGCCTCACTGGCCAGGGCTCATAATTACAGCTCCTCAGTAAGGGGTGTGCAGCACTGTCCTTGAAACACGTGGGTTACACATAAATACCCACCAACAGCTGACAGCTGCAGGTCTGTTCATCAGATTAAGGTTCAACCTCACTACTGGAGTGAAACCAGTCAATCTGCCTTTGTTTTCCAGCTTCCCCAGATGCCTATGTGAACATATAGAAAAAGCTCCCATTGTCTGAACTGGAGACTCTAATAGCAACGAATTCTGTAAGTGTGAATACCACCGAGACACACCAGGACTCGCCCTACCCTTCCAGAGAAAGTCCCAAAGTCTCAGGGACAGCATGACAATATCTGCTAATTTTCTGTGCTGATATCTGTTGCTTCTCTGATGTGTGGAAGCTCTGTCCCTATTCTATAGAGTTTTTCTAATATTTCTACACCTTGGTGCTTCATCAGCTCCTTGTTGCATCTCAGGGTTGTCACACTGTCTCTGCTCCTTACCCCAAATGCCACTCTGACCATTCGTTTCTACTTCTACAATCCATCATCTCAAATGTTTTCATCTTTCTTTTATCATCTTCTTACCACGGTTTTTTCCTTCCTTTTCTTGTAGCCTCTTGGTCTCCTCCCAACTATTTCTCGAGTGCAGATGGAATTCCTTGTCAGAAGTTTGGGGAGTGCTTGGCTTCTGGAGTCACTCTCTGAGTTTAAAAATCTGCCTATATTCTAACAAGGACACCTACCAACTCAGAGGTCTCATAACCCTTTCCTTGGTGTTGGATGATAAGAGGTAGACCTCCCTGTATCCAAAACTTCAGCTTTTAGTGTCAGGTACCACCGAGAAGGAGCCAATAATTGGTAATTAGATTTCTGTACCTGTCTGTCTATCTAGCAATAGTAGAAAGTGAGCACAGTTATTGCCATGCACGGTTGACAAAGAAGTGTGGGAATGAAATGCTTCAGCATGGAAACAGTGGTGTCCTTTCTGCTCACAGCTCATGGGTCAGGGCTGGTTACATGTCCTTTGACCATTTGGAGTCCAGGAGCACAGTCCTACCACCTTGACAGTGTGGAGGAGATAGAAATATTTGGCAAACCAAGCACGACAATGTCGATCACCAACATTTTCTACCAGCAAGAGCATTTTATTGAGCTTTTCTTTTCTAGTTTTATTATGAAAACAGTGGTGATATTTTTTTCTGTTTTCCAAACGCACAATTTTTGATACAGTTTAGCAGTCTTTGCAAATAACTACCTTCTACCAACCCTCACTTGAGATTCTGAAACACCTCTCGAAGCAACATACCCCCCCCACACACACGTCTGTGCATACACATATATGTGTACACTGAACTGAGGATCATTGCGCTGTCTTGTGTGCAGAGATGTGCCTTAGCTGAACTACCAGCCTGAGTGATGCTGATCACCTTCAGGTAAGAATGAAAGCGTCACTGGGTGCCGTGGCTCACACCTGTAATCCCAGTGCTTTGGGAAGCCAAGGCAAGAGGATTGCCTGAACCCAGGGGTTTGAGAGACCAGTCTGGGCAACTTAGCGAGACCTTGTCCCTACAGTAAATGAAAAAACTAACCAGGCGTGGTGGTGCATGCCTATAGTTCCAGCTAGTTGGAAGGCTAAGACGGAGCAATCGCCTGAGCCCAGCACACAGGCGAGCGTGCCATTGCACGCCAACCTAAGTGACAGAGTGACACTTCGACTCAAAAAAAAAAATCAAAGAGTGATATTTCTCTCTGAATGGTCAGCATTGCTCAATGCTTACAGGGCAACATCTGCGTCACAGCCTCGTGTGACCTGTCAAAGAGGTTATGAGCTCTGATCTCTCCTGCTAAGACCCAGGTGCCGGTGTATGGGACAATGTATCATCCCTGATATATGAAATTAGTCCTACTCTGACTACACCATGAACCCTGCCCTCAGGAATCCTGGCTCTGACCTTGCCTCAGCCCTACATCTTGGTCCTGCTTGGCCCTGACTCTGCCAAAATTACCTCTGCTTCTCCCATCCAGGCAACCTCGGACAGCTATTGACAACATGTATACTCTGTTCATGTACTCATTCAGCTCCAGTCTCCCTGATTCTCTCTGATTTCTGTTCACCTTTATTTGTTCTCAGTGTGATTATTCCTGCTGCTTCCTGTGAAACCAAGCCCGCTGACTAAGTTCATTTGGGTTTGAGCTTTTCAAGTCCACCTGAATGCAGCCTAGGGCTATTATGTGTAACAAGAAATAGGTTCAGAGGTCTTACAGGCACTGACCATTTAAATGGTATTTATTCTTCCATGGTGGGTGTCAAGTGATCTCTGTTCCTTCACTTCTCCCACAAGATGCACTGAGCATCAGCGCCACGCCTGCCTCTGTTCAGGGTGCTGGGTAGAGCAGCCTAGAACCAGTCAAGCAGAGAGCGATGGACTTGGACTGGGAGACGAGGCTTTCTGGAGGCTCACAGGGGAGGCTCTCTCTGTGTTACTTGAAGGAAGAGGGCAAGGAGGTGAGGGAAATTCTAGAAAATACCAGACTTCCAGTCCTGCACTTGCGAGAGGTTTCTACATAAAATGTAAATAAAAAGTCACCTCCTGAACAGTTATGGCAAAAAAATACTTTGATAAAGCCTTGATGATAAATTGCAGGTAAATTATGTCCTACATAGTCTACCTTTTTGATGTGATAAAGGCAAGTATATAAATATGTATATAAATGAATTGCCTCCGCAGAAAAATGAGGTAGGCTTTAATAAACCTAAACCTCAAAAATATAGAATTACTGAGTAGAGATGCCAGTGAATTCTGAGCACCTATGAGCAGAGTGTCATTTAATCTGCCCTGGGAACAATTCTAAACAAAAAAATCTACTTTATGTATCCATCTACCATGCAAAGTTATTCTGTACTGAACTTGCATAGAATGAACTCTCTAGAATCGTCCCTAAAGTTGGAACAATTCTAAATAAGAAAATCTACTTTATCTATCCATCTACCATACCAAACTTGCATAGAATGAACTCTCTGGAATCGTTCCTAAAGTTTATCAGTGATAGTCAATAAATGTCACCTCATGAGCAGACATACTCTGAAGGACATTAAAAATGTCCCAATGGCATACACAAACATCCAGATCAATAAATACATGACAAAAATCGCCCTTACATACATTTCTTGCGTCTTCCACAGAAATGCTGCTTTTGCGGTATCCCAAAGTGAAGGCCACCATCATTCAGGTGTTGACTTGCCAGCTCCTGCTTTCTGGCGGTCAGCAGGACCTCGCTGGCCTTGGGAGGCCGGGCCTCTATGGATCTCTTATACAAAATGTGGGAGGGAGGGCCACCCTGTGCAGAGCTGTCGGGTATCCCAGCAAGGTGTGAAGGAAGTGGTTTCAAGAAGTAATCTGCTTCTTCTGTTCTTATCATGCCTGACTGGAAAAAAAAAATAATAAAGAGGAAGAAAGGAAATACATTTGTACTTTCCAGTTGGAGACACAGCCAATTCTCCAAGCACTATATTTGTGATTGTTGTCTCACAAGCATGCTGCTTCCTCCAGGGAGAGCTTCTATGGAAAGGGTTCAAAATCCTGGTCTGGGAATTAGAGGTAGGCAAGCCCTCTGCGTACAACCTGAGTTCCTTCTGCCTGGTTCTTTAAAAAAAAAAAAAGATGTGGGGTACAATTCAGGATTAGGTATACAACAAACGTTGATTATGCAGGTACCCTTGTTGATAAGGTCCCACTTGGTTCTTGAAGAAAGCCAGTGTGGTTCTCCAGGACTAGACTCAGTGATGGAGAGAGGAAGAGAGGGCCTGCAGCAGGCCTGAGTCAGCTCATGCAAACCACAAGTAGTGAAGGCATGAGAGGTATATGTGCACATGTGTAGATATGATTATGGGGGGGCGGTCTTAGATAAAGAGATACGAATTAGGATCCTAATAGAGTAATTTGCCATACTCTGATCAAGTGAGTTTTAAAGCGTAAAGAAATGGAAGCACTTTCTTAGAAAGTATTAACTTAACAAAAGGAATCCGGAAGCAAGCACGAGAACATTTCCATAGGGAATCAAGGTTTTTTAAAGCAAGATATTAAAGGAAACAAGAAAGAAATGATTTTATAAAAATACTTAAAATGCCACTACAGCATGAATAACGAAAAAATACCTTAAGAAAAAATTGAGAGGTGACTTTTTTACATTTTAGAGTGACAAATATTCTTAGAGTTTGGTAATATGGTAATTGACGACCATGAGAGCAACCAGGCGATTGTATACTCCAGCAAAGTATAAACTGAGGCCACACTGAGGAGACAGCTATCCCACACATGTCCATCCACCAGAGATATCTAGAACTAGTGTATAATTCAATTCTAGAAACTTAATTCTTTGGAGTTCCTGCCAAGTACTTTTTCAAAACACTTTTCCAATATTGGTAAACATGTGAATGTGTAAGGCAGCATTGTTTACAATACCAAAAAAAAAAAAAACCCACAAAAACGAAACAAACAAAAGCAATAAACAATGTGAATGTTTACCAATGAATTTATGATCAATTTTTAAAAGTACGTTTATATCATTGGAGAGTATATAACCATTAATATTTAGATAATTATTGCCGGATGATAGTCATGATTAAAACGTTTGCGTTCCTGAAACTGTGGCCCTCCTTTCCTATGGAATACCCACTCACACATCATTAGCATCCTATTTTTATGCGTGAAGATTTATAGTGATTAAGCAATGTTTTCAAGGTCAACTGAGCAGGAAACGCAGTGTGAGAAATTGAGCAAAATCAGAATAAATTCAGATTCTGTAAGTTTAAGGTTCGTACTACAGGGCAGGGTTCCCCAAAACTATACATTCTTTTAAAGCATATAACGGAGTATATAGTATGATCTCAGTTGTGTCCACTTAAGAAATTGTGCATGTACACTTAAAGAATTCCCTGGTGGGTTGGTGAGCAATTTTTGATGTTGGTTATCTTCAGGGAGAAAAGTCGAGTAGCAAGGACACAAGATGGGAATTCCACTTAACTTTTATATCTTTCTGCACAACCCAAGGTTTGTAGTCTGTGTGCATCCAAAACTTAGAAAAAACCAAGCATGGCAATGGCATTGCTGGATCATGGGACTATGAATGAGCTTTTAAAATCCTTATAAATGTGATTAAACATTGCCATAATTTTATAATACAATTAACTAATATATAACCCCAAAGTATCATTTAGAATTCTCTAATACTGACCTGTCAATATTACGATTGTGGTGACTTTTTTCCATTAATTTGCTAATTTAGTTCAACATACTGAGTCAGACACTGATGAGGTCTTCACAGACACTGACATATGGATGTCTCTTTTAAGTTTGCTTCTGATTTAATGAGCGTGCATCGAGCATTTCATTCCCATTTTGGAGTTCTCTGGCATCAATACCCACCCAGTGAGCTCCTGCTGACTGGGCTATTCTGAATGAACATGGGCCTAATGTGAGACACACTCTCAGAAGAACATTTTTTAGATCTTGGGAAATGGTCAAACACACTGAGGAAAGTCAACTGAAGTGAGAGACCAGGTTTATCAAATTCTGGGAGACTAAGCATTGGTCACAGACTCCCTGCTGCTGTGGGGGAAGGGAAGACAAAGGCACACTTGGTGAACTATCAATGAAGCCATCAGCACCAAGTGGGGTAGAGACCTCCTGGGGACCAAATACCACAGAGCCATGAAAAGGTGAAATACTTGGAATTTATGCTCTGGATTGAGGGAGAGGGGGGCAGAGGCAAGTTGCCATGCAATACTGCGCAGGAGTGACTTGTTATCTCTTGGGCTTTCTAGAAGCCCACCAACTAAATGTAGACATAACAACACTTTGCAGATTGAACCTCTGCCAGGAAATAGCCAAGTGTGAGTTAAATCAAATAGTGGATAAAGCCTGTTAGGTTTCATCCCTTTTGCATTTTAATTAACTGAGGAGTACATAAGCAGTCATTTCTGTATTCAACCTCCTGTAACACTAACCCAAAGATTCTCCACTATTGAAGGTAACCAGTTAAGTATGAAACTGAAAAAAATAAGAAAAATTCACGCACGGTTTAAAAAAATATCCCACTTTTCTGATATTCAAGCAATTTCTTGCTTTCCAAACCTTCCCTTAGAAGACCATAGGCTCCTTAAGAACCTAGAATGCATGTCACTTAGCATCTCTTTTGCAAGCCAGAGTGGATTCATGAAAGACTGGTTGGATGAGTTGGATACCCCAGCACTGATCATGCAGTTGTAACTTGTATTAGCTGTGTGACACTGAATGATTTGCTTATCATCTCTGCACAGCTTTGTCGTCTAGTAAGTAGATACAAGGATAGTTACTTGTCATGATTTTTTGTCATGATGTAACAACGATATGTTTAAAGCACATGAACTGCTGTGAGCATTTAAAAAAGATTTGCTGAAAATAAAATAATGTCAAGTATCTACTTCAACTTGATGATCTCCGATTTCCTTCTGATAATTCAGAGAGTCCCTGGGGGATTTTCCACCATGTAGTACAAGACACCTCTGAAGCCTAAGTGTGGGTGCATTCAATATCACCATCGTCTCAAACATATCTTTACCTCTGATCTGCTGCTTGATTTTTACACTCCTTCCGACTTCCTCACCGAAACACTTGTGTTCTGTGGCAGCTACTGCAGATTCAAAAGCATCTGCTTTTTCCCAGGGACAAGGCTATGTTCTGGCTGATCAAGGCTGAGAGACAAGACCCCCAGGCAAGCGTGTCTGTTGTAGGTGGCAGATTTTTGAATTTTCATTAAAAAACCAGTCAATATTTTATGTTTAAATAATCCCCAATTTCATGAAGTACATCAAGTATAGTAACTGATAAGACTGATATTTTGATAACCCCTGATAAGAATAATGAAATATATGAAAAAAAAGCTACCCCGTTAGTTTGCTGCATTATTAGCTTACAAGCGTATTTAAAAGAGGAGGTCAGCCACAGAAGATGAATGCTTTCTTATCTGAATGAAGAACACATATTTGGAAACTCTTGAGGTATCTAGTGCAACCCAGCTGTAGTCCCCAGTTACTGCCGGAATGTCAGCTGGGTGGAAGATCAACCAGAATTCAGCAAAGGCATGTGTCCTTCAGGCTTTGCATGGGACAAGATTTGGCCTCCTGGGGCCTGCAGCTCTCACGTCCACTTCTGTAAATCATTTGACATCGGAACTCTTACCACACACTCAGGTCGCCTTTGTAAGGGGGAAAGAACATGTGTTATGTTACTGTTGAGAAATACCGTTTCTGAGCAATATAAGTAAAGACAATATCGCAGCTTGAAAGCAGAGGTCTCATGTATTATATTTGTTGTTATTCACAATTAAATGTTGCTAGGTTTTTATGATTGTGCAACTATTGAGATTTGTAAAAACTGCTCATAAAAGTTACATGAACCAAAAAATAAAATGGCAAATAAGAAGAAATGGATGAATGCCCCATCACTGAGCCAATTTCTCCTACAGTGTGAGGCAGCGCCAATGAACTGGTTCCAAGTGTGTCTCAGGTGACATTGTGTGCCCTATTCACGGGAGCTAGCTATCCATAAGCACAGTGAAGAAGAAATTGGGCTGGTTATGAGAAACAGGCATTTAAATTCCCAAGTAACTTTATTTTTACTCCCTTCTGTTTCTTTTCTCCAAAAGTGTGATTTGTTTGGGAAATATTCTATTCACACTAGGTCTTCTTAGTGATATTTTAGAAACGTTAGACAATTTCAACTTTTGCCACACTTTCATCGAAGCCAAACTCTGCTTTTTGTGAGGAATACATTTAGGGATTCTTCTAAGTCCTTCCTTGGTCCTCACTGGACACTGCGCAGAAGCTGAGAGGCCATCTGTGCACACCCAGAGCAGCCAAACATAGACATTTTTCTAAGACCAGTATTTCCTCCTACACTGAAACTAGAAATGTTGCCAGCAGCAAGATAATCATAATTGCGAATATGGCTCCCATTTAGTGAGTCTATAATCTAGGCCAGGAATAACATCTCCTAGATATTAAAGTATTGGTCTTTAATGTAGAATAATGAAGAAATTGCAGGAACGGATAGATGTCTACAAGGGTTAAATAGTACATCTGAGTTCACAAGCCAGGAAGTGAGTGAAATTAGAAATCAAATCCAAAACTCTTTGGCCCTGATGCCATGATAGTAGCCATGCTACACACTACTGCATCATGGGATTAGAGGACGCTCACTGTGTAGCTGTGACAGGAACCTAGAGCTCAGGGTCTAGTGCAACTTCCGGTGTGTTAGTGCAACTTCCGGTGTGTTAGAATATTCCTGACCCAGATTTTTAGCCTCTGCTGGAAGATCTGAGTGACTGGGTATCGATTTCTGAGAGACATAACATTGTTGAGCAACTCTCCCTCTCTTTTTGACATA